TCGGACCCGACTCATAGCGACCCCTCCTTGGGTTTCGGAGGCAGTATCACTATGTTCGCTGTATAAAGGGAGTGAAATAACATATGCATAGACACAGACCTCAGCACACGGACGACACAGGGAGTGTTGATTGAAATGAAGATGTTGGCGTGACCTGCTAGCACTGGGCATTGGATTTCACCCTGCGTTAGTTATTTTCATGGCTACAGCAAAGTACTGGTAGAATTTAACCAAACGGTTCATTTGAGTCACACAAGAAAAGTGGATGGATTTATCCATCTCTCAGTGTAAACTGTCTTGAGATAGTTTGCAAAGAGCAGCTAATGGTGATGGGTGGAAGGCCCAAGACTTGGGTGAGTGTATCTTCAGGTTAACATGGCAGAAATGCCATTGGTGGAGAATCCCCTCATTTGCATTTATCGGGTAATTATTAGTCAAAAGAGCAGGAGCTCCCCTGGAATCCCTGTAAGGGGGGGATGGAAGGGGCGGATTGTGTCAGGGCTTTTTCGGTTTACTTGTTTCAGCTGTTGGTGTTTCCTTCATGAAGACACAGCTCCTGAAAGATGTGCTCTTCTGTGGACACGGTAAGGGTTCTCGCCTTCCTCCCGTGCCATGGTCTCTGGAACCTGGGTGTCATTTGAGTCGTATTCTTACAGAGGCGTGAGAGAAGGCATTGTGCTGTGCCTAGGGCTGCAGTGGGTACGAGGTGGATGAACCTCCTCCCCCTTCCTCTGGATGCAGGCAAGACCTCCAAGGCCCTGGGGGGCAGTGGGGCCCCCAGCTGGAAGGTCCCTGGGTCCCTGAAGCTCCCTGAATAGCTTCTTAGAATGAACACATTTAAAGTGATGAGTAGTTATTCCCACATTTTTTTCTTATCTGAAGTCGTGCCAATTTTTTCTTTGCCCACATTTTGAGTGCTTTTGCCCACGTACTCACCAACACTAAATGGTGCCAAGCTTTTGTTCAATCTGCACGTGGTAATGCAAGGTGTTTATATTGTTATCTAGCACTGTGCCATACCAGGGCCAATGTAGACATATGAAAACATGGATGTTGTCAAAGATTTCATTTTACTTGGATCCACAATCAACACCCATGGAAGCAGCAGTCAAGAAATCAGATTTATTGCACCGGGCAAATCTGCTGCAAAAGACCTCTCTGAAGTACTGAAGAGCAAAGATGTCACTTTGAAGACTAAAGTGCATTTGACTCAAGTCATGGTATTTTCAATCATCTCATGCATGTGAAAGTTGGATAATGAATGGGAAAGACTGAAGAAATAGTGATGTCTTTGAATTGCATTGGCAAGGAATACTGAAAATACCATGGACTGCCAGAAGAATGAACAACTCCATCCTGGAAGAAGTGCAGCCAGAATGCTCTTTGGAAGTGAGAATGGCCAGACTTTGTCTCACTTACTTTGGTCAGCTGTCAGAAGGGACCGGTCCCTGCAGAAGGATAGCATGCTTAGTAAAATGGAGGGTTAATGAAAAAGGGAAGGCCCTAAATGAGTTGGATTGACAAAATGGCTGCAGTAATGGGCACAGGCATGGCAATGATTGTGAGGCTGGCACAGGACTGGGCAGCGTTTTGTTCTGTTTTACGTAGGTCGCTATGAGTCAGAGCCAACTCGACGGCACCTCACAACATAATTTGACAGTGCTTCCCTGTACCCTTAATAGGCTAAGTGTGCTTGGTCGACCAGCAGTATCAGTAAGACCTGGGTCCCTGTTAGAAGTATAAAGCTCCAGGACCACCCATTCAGACCTGCTGAATCAGGAACATCTGAAATGAACCTGTCAACCCTCCCCCTCAAAAACAGCCTTCCAGGTCACTGACTAGCAGTGCCCATTCACATGCCAAGGACACTTCAGGGCCAGTTTCAGGTGCAGGTGAACTGGCTCCCACCCACTGAGCCCCATCCCATCATTTTCAGAGTTGCAGCACCTAATACCTACACCCTCTTACAAGAGACAGGAGGGTGCATGCCCTCCCCACGGCCACTGTAGCACAGCCCTTCCTGGCAGACCACAGTCAGGGGCCTAGCAGGGAGCACATTCTTTTGAAAGGCCTAGCTGCTCTGTTTTACATGAAGGAATCAATATACATCATCCTAATTTCTTGAATATTAAACACTAACATATTTGTAATTCTTCTGTGGTCACTAGCTGATGGGACGTTATTGTCAATATTCTCCCCATAGGAAACTTTTACAAGAACTGAGTAAATCTGCAAATAACAGTGACTGATGGGCAATAAGATGTCTGATGTCATAGAATATTGGCTAACTGTGTTTCAGTTCTCTGTTTCCATCCTGGATGGAGCACTCATTAGTCGTGGGTCACAGGGCAAGCTACTCTTATCGGTGTTTCACTTTCCATGACTGTCTTCAGACTAAAAGAGCTGTTTGAGGATTAAATGAGATAGTCCATGTAAAGTATTTAAACAGTGATTGGTCCCCAGCCAGAGAGAGGTAATAAAGGAAGAATGGAGACAGACAGACAGACAGACCAGGGTGTCTTGCTCCTGGACTCTGTTGTCAGGTCATCCCCAACTCATGGCAGCATTTTGTACAACAGAGCAAAGTGAGTGCACACTTGCCAGAATGATCATGAATAAGGAAGACCATGGAAGAACTGATGCCTTTGAATTGTGGTGTTGGGGAAGAGTACTGAAAATTTCACTGACTATCAGAACAACCAACAAAGCTGTCCTGGAAGAAGTGCAGCCCAAATGCTCCTTAGAAACAAGAATGGCCAGATTTTGTGTCACCTCCTTTGGTCATGTTGTCAGAAGGAACTGGTCCCTGGAGAAGGATGTCATGCTTGGTAAAGTAGAGAGTCAGTGAAAAAGGGGGAGACTGTCAATGAGATGGATTGGCAGTGGCTGCCACGGTGGGCTCAAGGACAGCAAGGATTCTGAGGATACTTCAGGAACAGGCAGAGTTCGTTCTGTTGAATCTAGGGTCACTATGAGTTGGAGGTGACTCGATGGCTCCTAACACAATGACACCATCCTTTAACTGGGCCGGTTTGCCACCTTCATGGTCATTGTTTGTTTGCGTCCATTGTTACGGCTGTTGACCCAGCTCGTGGAGGCCTCCTTCATTGAGCCGGCCCTCTCCCTTACCAGGCGATGTCCTTTTCTAGCCAATGGTCTATGCTGGGTGACTTGTTCGATGTAAGTCAGTTAAAGTCTTGCCATCCTCACCCCTAAGGACCCATCTGGCTGTACTCTTCTAGGACAGATTTGTTCATTCTTGTGGCAGTCCTTGCTGTATACAGTATTCTTTGCCAACATCACAGTATGAATGCATCCATTATTCTTCTGTCTTCTTTTTAATTTTCCAGCTTTTGCAGGCATATGAGCTGCTTGAGAAGACCAGGGCTTGGGTCAGGTGCACGTTAGTCATCAATGTGCTGCCTGGATCTTAGCTGAACTAAATCCCCAGTCTCAGTGAGAACAACCTCTGACAACCTTCTCTGCTTCCTGTGTCCCCATAAAGTCCTCTGCTCCTTGACGACTCTGCCTGTGGGATTCATTGTCTGGTACAGCCAGCCTCCTGCGAATGAGGTCTGGTCCTCTAGGTGTATCAGGGCACAGCCAGCTCACTGTGGCACAGACTAGGCTGTGCAGAAGCCAAGGAATAGCTTAGTCTCTATCAGTAATACGGATGCGGTCAGACTACATTGTCACAAGTCTGCCAGATGCAGAGCGCTGAGGAGCCAGGTTGTCCGAGAACAGTCTGGAGTGTTCTGGGAAGTGCATAGATAGACTGAAGTGGCAGTCCAATCTTCATGGATTTTTTCTGATGGCTAAATGAGCAGATCCAAGTACCATGATTATCAGTGCACAGTGTGTGGCACTGACAAAGGGATTGGTAAAATACCAGCTATTACAACAACCCACTTTATTTTCATATTGCGTAAACTCTGACTGCTTTGTGCCTTAGACACTTGACGGCTAACCAGAAGGCTGGTTGTTCAAACCCACCAGCCACTCCTTGGAAGGAAGGTTGGGCAATCTACTTCCATAGTAATACAGCCTCGGAAACCCAAGGAGGGGTCGCTGTGAGTCGGATCCGACTCCACGGCAGTATGTTTGGTTTTTGGATATGGAAACTCCACCTGCAGTTCTCCCAACACAACAGTATGAAGAATTGGGTTGAGCACTTCTTAACCCCCAAGTGAAGGACACATATTCATTCTTGTAAGCCTTTTGTCCACTCTTATTGTGAAGCCGAGAAAGGCTCTAGTAGGGAGTGGTCATGCTTATTACTAGGCAGGTTAGAAAATGTACTTTCTAGGTAACATCCTGGGTGGCCACCTGAATATGTGGGACTCACCCCTGACCACCAAATTTATAAACCAGATTTAATAAGAAGTCAGTTCACCACCATCACTTAACCAGCTGATCTCCACATTGTGAACACTATTTGAAATTTTGTTTCTCCTTTCTCCTGCACATCCCACTTTATCTTTGTTCTTTCACTCAGTTTACTGAGGTTTGTTTGTTTGTTTGTTTTTGTACAAATTTTTGTACAAAATTTCTCAACAGCATCCATCGTAACTAAATATCCCCAAGTTATTCTTTAACAGGGCAAGTGCAATGATGGGAGCAGGACATGATGCCACTGGGTTAGAGGATCATTTCTTTGGCTGCAGCATCTTTTCCCTGCCAAACCCTGTGATGTCTGTGGTGAGTGAGTTTGCAGAGCCCAGTTAGGGAGATGGAGAGACTATATTCACTTTTCAGGACCTAGAAATGTGGATTAAAATGGCTTTTTATTTTGTGTCAATGAGTAATTAAAAGCAATATGCAATAAAACCGCATCTGACAGAAAGTCAGTGGATGCAAGAAAGCTAGTTTTCCTGCCAAGGAAGAGATTGGGTTTGATCTGGGTCAGGACGACCCAGAAAAAAGAAGATAGTGAATTTGTCCTGATGTAAACAGTCACCAGCACCAAGACTCGGGGCCCACTTGGGCTGGTGACTCAAAGGTCACCCCAATTGGGAATGACTCTTCTTGCACAGCACTATCCTCAGGGCCCTCTTCACGTCTGCATTCCTCAGGCTGTAGATCAGAGGGTTCAGCGTTGGGTTGAAAATGCTATAGAACAGGAAAAGGACCTTCTGCTGCTCCTGGGAATGGCTGGCTTTTGGAATCATGTACATGACAATGGCACTGCCAAAGAAGAGCCCGACCACGCAGAGGTGGGAGGAGCAGGTTGAGAAGGCCTTTCTGCGTCCTTCTCCAGACTGGATCCTCAGAATGGCAAAGAGGATGTGAGTGTAGGAGACCAGCACAAGGAAGAGGGGTCCCACTAAGATAAACACACAGGCAACAAAAATGACCACGTGGTTGAGTGTGATGTCAGCACAGGCCAGCCTCAGGACAGACATGATTTCACAGAAGAAATGGTTGATCTCATGAGGCCCACAGAAGGGCAGTTTCAGGAGGAGGACCACATGGACCAGGGCCAGGAGGGACGCACATGCCCAGGAAGTGACAGCCAGGGTGACACAGAGCCTCCAGCTCATGATGGCAGAGTACCGGAGGGGGTGGCAGATGGCCACGTAG